AAAGAAAAGTAAATGAAATATTAACATTATTAGTACATTAACTTCAGTTGAATACTGAATACTCTAGAGCCGGAAAGGTTAGGGATAGTATTTAATATCAATCTAGAGCAACCAGGCTGAATGCTCTTTGATTTTCGATCCTTGTAGCCACGTCTATTGTACAAGCGTCCTGATGAACCCATGTGATCCTTGCAGTCGCAAATCATTTTGAATAGTTGGTTTGCACGGTATAATGTTCTAGCTTTCTTCACTTAGCACTGATCTTTTGAGGGGTTGCACAACAGCACCACACATTACCTACAAAAATCAACACAAGAATATCAGTAGAAAAGCTAACTGTTAACAGCCCTGAGTGTGAGCTGCATTGTAATTAGTCTCTGGTGCACACATATTATGAGTGATAGCTAATATCTGAATTTGATTTATTTATTTATTTTTTGTAAGGGAAAATATGTAAAATGAAGGATTTGGATGACAAGTTAACCCTTGGGACTATAGTCTTGGGATTCTTGAGATGCTATGACATCTAAGTCTTTGAAACAATCTTTTGTTCTAAAGTAGTATTTATCAGATTAAGAGCCACCCATGGATTGCTCTTGATGAGTTGAATTTATATACATATTAATGTGAAATTGTTGCTTTGATATTATTGATATTTAAATGAGTTTTATGAGATTTTACTTGAATTTACATAGTTTTCATTTTTTATGTAGGAAAGGACTTAATTGAAAAAAATTATAATTCTTAGGAGCAAATGCAAAGATCAAAAAGCTGAAGATTAAGTTTTTCAGAATCCAGAAGTCAAGGACCAGGACTGTTATTTTACCAACAATTGCTAGGAAGGCCAAAAACCTGACAAAGAAGGGTACTGTGCGCTGAACAGAAGGTGTCGGCACCCTGTTAAAGGTATTGACCCCTTAGGCAATTTTCACCCAGTCCGTATTTAATTTATTATTATAGGTGTTAATCCACTTCTATTCAAATTAAGGTTTTTAAAATCTTATAAATATCCGTCTAAATTCAAAATTAAAGGGGCTTTGTAGGAGAGTTTGGGAGGTTGGTGGCAGCTCTCTTTTGAACATTTTTGGAAATCAATATAGAGATTCATTAATAATAAGAGATTAAGCATTTTAATTTCTTCAAATTAGATTTTTTTCTTCCTTGATATTCTTATATTTATAATTATGATTTTATATTTTATTATTTTTATTATGAATTAATTTATTTTATTAAGATGATAATATAGCCT